CTAACGCTTAGATTTATGTCAAACGACACTTTTTCTCATTAATAGAGTCTTATTAACTTTTAAACGGGGGTACGGGGTGTTACAATCTCCCCCAAATTCAACTTATTATAGATTGACAATGGCATCAAATTGATACTCGCCCCTAGATCACTTAAAGCCTTAGCAAAGAATAAGGCACTAATTATGCATGGAATAGTAAAACTATCTCGGTCTTTAAGTTTTGGAGGTAGCCTATTCCGAATGCCTACACTGCACTCTTCCATGAGTGTTACTGTCTCAAACTCACACAATCTACTTTTCTCGGATAAAATATCCTTTAGAAATTATAACAACCCATTCACATGGCCATTACTAGTGCACAAGTCATATAAACAAGCCTACATAACCCTAGTAGCCTTCTAAGCATTTTATTTTGCCTATATTTATTATTCTCACATTGTCATTACAACTTCAATTAATTTTTTTCAATCATCAATATCATTGTCTCTTCCAAATCCACATCGAAATAATAATAACCACACAATAGTTCAAAGTGTTTTGATGACACAACACCACACTTTTAATTTACAATATTTAAAGAACTTAGTCTCAAAATAGTTATAAACTCATTACTTATTACAATTTTAAAACAACTCGATGACTAAATAACAGAGTGATGCAAAGAAAGCTATGAGATGCCATTACCTACATAGCTACAAAAGGATTTCTCACCAACGACGTCCCCAACTATCTATTTATCTACACATTAAATAACATGGGTGAGTCTCACAAACTCACTAATTATCAGCTCCGTGAGTAGGCAGGAAAGGAAAGCAAACATAAAGATGGCGTATTTATAAATTGAAGAGTAAGCATTGAAAACATACTCAATTAAACTAAGAGATTTTTATACCTTGCAACTCTTAAAAATAATGAATCATAAGCAAATACATATGAAAATGGTTATATTTAGCATGTTAGAAAATCTTTCCGCTTTAATATCCTTTCAACAGTAAATCCAATGGCAAGTATAAAATGAAAAATCTTAAACATAAAAATGCGAAATAACTAGTCACAAATGAATATGTAAATTCCACTTGCCATTTAATAATAAATTTCAGGCGTTATTGCCATGCTATGTTTAATAAAAATCAATAAGTGAGCATCATGCTTGGGTAGGCTTAGTATAGCCCTTAGGCTTACTCTCTCAGACATCATCACCTACTCATGGGAATTACCCACGTTACCAAATACTAATCGAGGCTTCAGGTCCCTTTTTATCTACTTGTGGGAACTACCCACACCACCTAATATGAATCGAGGCTTCAAGTCCCCCTTTACCTACTCGTGGGAACTACCTATGCCACCCAATATGGATCAAGGCTTCAAGTCCCATTTTACAATCAAATATCAATAATCAATAATCACTACTTTGTGCACAAAGACCACACTTAGCTTGGTGTGGTAACAGGTCCTAACTTGAGTATCTCAATCATGTTAAAATGAAAGTTGTCATAATTTAATGCATTTGCAAAGCATGATAGATCAAAATCAATATAACCATAAATCGAATGTTATGCATAATTTATCTCAAGGCATGGCATGTCTATCAAATCAACATGCTAAGTCAAATCGATAGTTTATAATCAAATTCCATGAATCAAGTAATGGCCATTGGCCTAAACATCATACAAGCTTGCAAGGTGTGATTTGGAAGTGAAAAGCTTGTCAAAGGTTTGTTTCCTCGTAATCAAAAGCATGCAGATATATACTTATGTGTAATATAGAGAAAAACATATTTAAAATCCTTGTCACAATCACAAACAACCTAAGGCTTTCTACCAACTCATGCTTTCCACAATTTCATCAACTATCAAATGTAACATATATAATATATTTATAGGGATATAGTTTTGAAATTTAACGCCCACTCACCTTGATTGGTGGGATTTCTCACCAATATTCTGAGCTTTACTAGCCAACTCTTCCTTTGCCAATGTTTTCTTTTATTTTTTTTTACTTTTATCTACCCATCACCTCCTCCAATTCTCCAAGTCGAATCTATATTTTTATTCATACTACATTTAAGCTCAAGTTCAATTATCTCATATTAGCTTTCCATTAACATTTTACATTTGGAATCTTACCTCCAATTTACCTTTTTACAATGGTCAATCAACTCCAACAGCATCTTTAATTCTAAGCTTCAATTCTATTTTCCAATAAACTTGTTCCTCCATTCTCCCTATGGTTTAACACATTTAAAATGCCAATTCCAGCAACTTCTCTTGTCTTTTTTTTTTTTTCACTTTCCCAAGACCTTTGCAATAACACATACAATTTGTAAGTTTGAAACTAAGTAAATAAATAAAGGTTGCTTTCTTCAACCCATAATTCACTAGAGAAATTTAACAAGAACTAAACCTTAAGTTACCTTTCCTTGTTAATGGTTTAGTTTCTTTGCAACTTGTCATTAACATGTCCTCACCCAAGTACTCCAAATCTATCATAGTAAACTTATACATCATAAGCTTCTTGCACTAAAATCTTTAAAGCTTAAAACAACATGTCCTTACTGTCATGAAATTTGTAGCATAAATCTCTCGATTAGAAAGCTTAAACTCTCATGGTGTGGGCTATTTGCCTTAGGTTTCCAAGTAACAAAAATTCTTTCAATGCCTTCCATCTCCTCAAAAATTTCTCTATTGCTTCCTCCTAGTTTTTGACCTAAATGTGGTGATCTTAACAAAGCTCTAACACTCACCAAAATCTTCAAGGCTCAAGTTCAAGGGAGACAGCTAATGCTAAGGCGAGCATAGTGGTAGATTCTCCAATGAGAATTTGCCCCACTTTCCACACAATAGACATCTATTTCAATTTTTTTCCATGTTTCTTAGTGGGCAAATTATGTTTCACTATTATTGGCCTAAAATCAAAACTTCATTCCCTTGAAATCTTCCTACCTAGGTGTTAGTTAAAATTCTACTACGCAAGTATACGTATCGAATAGACAGTATATTAGCAAGTAGAGTATCGATCCCACAGGGAATTGATCTAAAAGTTTACTAAGTACTAAAATTATTGCAAATTAATCTTATCCAAACAATATCAAAATAATATCAAATCAAACTAAGTTATAGCAGAATTAAATTAAGAAAAATCAAAATAATAAATACTCAAATAAATATCAAATCAAACAAGCCTAAGATTACAATATCCCTCACACTTCATCTAAATCTTACCTCTCTTCCTTAACTTATCTCAATGGTTTGAATTACTAACCTAGAGTCCTAAATTATTTATAAGGGTCTCCCGACTCATCTTATAAAAATATCTATTTTAACCAAAACACTATATCCCTATGTGAATTGAAATTAAAACAAACTCATTAAGTTCAGGCTCTAATCTGGCTACATATGGCCTATAGGTATATCCCTATCCTATACGCAAATCAATTAATATGATCATATGCTATCCCAATTTTAGTCTACACTAAACTCCCTTTCCCAAGTTTGTTTAGGTTTCTAGATCAATTTAATTGGTGGCCAAGCAATTAAAAGCATTAAGAACAAATTGAATAAACAATTCAAATCCCATTGAAAATAAGCAAGAAAGTGATTAAAATCTAGATTACATGTAGTTCAATTGCAATCCTAGAAAAAATTAGCTCATAATATCTAAGAAAGACAATATCCAAAGAAATTTAGCCATGAATACAAGTCAAAGAAATAAGAAAAAACACAAAGGTAAGAGAGAAAACTAATAGTTAGATATTTATGATCTTGATTCTCTCTCCAATTCTCTTGTTTCCTTGCTTTGTTCTTGGCTCCAAATCTCCAGAATGTTGCTTGCTGCCTCCTCTCCAAAATCTCTGAAAAAGCTCCTTAAATAGGCTCCAAATAACCTAATTTCGAAATCCCGTTAATGTCCTTTATTTTTTTTTTTGGAAAGTCGCGCAGCGCTGCGGCGCTACGTTTCCAGCGCTGCAGCGCTGCGGTCTCTGGAATTTTGTATGTGTGCTTCCTTTCATCAACGCTGCAGCCTCGTTCACCCAGTGCTGTGGCAGTCTATCAACTTCAAACGTGAGTTTCACCCTGATATGTTAAGAACTGGGTAAAGTAGTAAACATAAAAGTTTTATCCCTGTCTCTTAACTTTCCAATGGATCAAAATCACATCCATTGGA